AGTAAAAAAAGAAAGAAATACAAAGCAATGCAGAAGGAAAAGGTAAAAAGAAAAATTAAGAAAGTTCATAAAAATGAGAGAGAAAAAATAAAATAGGGAAGAAAAACCTCAAGCAGAAAGAAAGAAAGAAAGAAAGAAAGAAAAAAAGAAAGAAAGAAAGAAAGATAGAAAGAAAGAAAGAAGATACAAAGAAATGATGCATCAAGCAACAACAAGGACAAGAAAGAAAGAAAGAAAGAAAGAAAGAAAGAAAGAAAGAAAGAAAGAAAAAATGATGCATCACGCAACAACAAGAACAAGAAAGAAAGAAAGAAAGAAAGAAAGAAAGAAAGAAAGAAAGAAAGAAAGAAATGATGCATCAAGAAACAAGAACAAGAAAGAAAGAAAGAAAGAAAGAAAGAAAGAAATGATGCATCAAGCAACAACAAGGACAAGAAAGAAAGAAAGAAAGAAAGAAAGAAAGAAAGAAAGAAATGATGCATCAAGCAACAACAAGGACAAGAAAGAAAGAAAGAAAGAAAGAAAGAAAGAAAGAAAGAAAGAAAGAAAGAAAAATACAAAGAAATTATGCATCAAGCAACAAGGACAAGAAAGAAAGAAAGAAAGAAAGAAAGAAAGAAAGAAAGAAAGAAAGAAAGAAGAAAAATACAAAGAAATTATGCATCAAGAAACAACAAGGACAAGAAAGAAAGAAAGAAAGAAAGAAAGAAAGAAAGAAAGAAAGAAAGTCAGAGTGATGAAGAAAATAGACAATGACAAAAAGAAAGAAAGAAAATGAAGAAAAGTCCAACAGGAGACAAAAGAGAAGAAACAAAATAAGTAGAGGTGAGAAAATCTCGTCTTCTCTCCAGGAAAATCTGACATTTGGTCAGATTTGGGGTTTGTGGGTCGAGCGGTTTTTCACTCCTACCTGCTTTTTTAATAACTGTGTCAGATTTACAGGCGGGTGTGAGCGTGTGGCACTTTGTCAGTGGGACTGAGCGTGAGTGTTGCGAAACAGAGAGCCTTCTTGTGAAATTACAACAGCAGTGGGCAAATTCGTCTCACAGCCTACAGAGTAATGATACCGATTCTCATTGAGCGCCCAGAATTTTTCTCCTTGATCCCAAAATAAACTCTGCTTACTTTGTATGTACTACATTTAATCGTATCGTCCACGATCTATACCGGAAGTCAGTAGTCATAGGGAAAAAAAGCAGGAAATGGTTTAGTCAAGCAGATGAACTCCTCACTGTGTAGATTGGCACAGCACAGTCATTCTGCCTGTTATTTGATCTTTTCTAGTACGAAGTGTAGTAAATGCCAATAAAAGACTGTTTGTCAACATGGTTTCTTCATTTCGTAATCAAGGACAACAGTGATTTTATCGTTGAACTTCTCCCAACATGCTTTCCTTTCTATCTGTTTATATATATATATATGTGTGTGTGTGGTATGTATTTATATATTTATATAATAATGGAAGTCTTATGAATGAAAAAAAAAACACGCAACTATGAACATGGATGCAATATCTTGATCGTGTTTTGAAAATGAAAACATTATATAAATACATACATACAACAATCTGTTTCTGTTAACAGTTAATATATTTCAACCTTGAAAATGGCTAAATGCATATCCAAAAGCGCTCGGATAAAAAGAACAATTGGACAGTTTTTTTTATAATTTATCTGCTGAAAAGAAAAAAAATATAAGATCACATGAGAAATTGTATAAAAAAACTAAATCAAAGCACCTTGTCTGTCGTATTGAATGAAACATGCATGAAAGAATGGTTGCTGCCTAAATACACAAATTTATATATTTATAGATATCTTTTAATTTAGATACATAGTTTTCGACTTACGCACAAGCGTAAATTCAGATGTGTGTGTGTGTGTGTGTGTGTGTGTGTGTGCGTGTGTGTGTGCGCGCGCGCGCACGGCGTGCGTCTGTGTAATCGCGCGCGCTGGCGCGTGTGTTGAATTAAACAGATAGCATCGTTGGTAGGTAATCATCTGTGTTCTGATCCGGATCGATTGTCTTCTATTCATAGCAACAGGCGGCCTATCTATCTATCTATCTATCTATCTATCTATCTATCTATCTATCTATCTTTATTTCTTTCTAATGAAACCAAGCAGCGTTCCTCATATCCCTTTTCCGTTTTTCTACGCGAGTAAAACTGAATAGTCCATTATTTATGAGGTACTGTCAAGAGACTTTAAATAATTCCCTCTCTCTTTTCTCTCTCTCTCTCTCTATCTATCTATCTATCTATCTATCTATCTATCTATCTATCCTAGTACATTATCTATCTATCTATCTATCTATCTATCTATCTATCTATCTATCTATCTATCTGCTTATAGCAACTACTATATATCTTTTAGTCGATACACACACTCAAACACGTATGTTAGTGTGTGTGTGAAAACAGTAATGAAGTCTTTCTGGACTTTGGCCGTAATGGCTCTCGACAATTTCCTATTTTTGTAGAGCTTAATAAATTCTGCCTTTTTAAATTGTCGTACTTGTTTGATTTTGGTGTCCACTATTTGTAATTTGCATGTTGAGCTGTTCCCATGCATTCTGTCTTCTGGCAATTGATGTTTAGCCCTTTCTTCTCGCCTCCCTCCATTATCTTCCACCAGAATTCTTGCAGTTTCCTTTCCGTGTTTGTCATCAACATTATGTCATCTGCATATCTTATGTTGTTAAGATTGTGGCCGCCAATAATGAATCCTGGTAGGACTTCTAATTCTCTCAGAATCGCCTCACTGGACAATTTGAATTGTTGAGAAGACACGATCTTCTCTTTCAGTCTTTATATATTTGCTGAACTCTTTTTTTTTTTTTCTTTTTTCGTATAGTGCGGGGAAATTTCCTTGGGGTGGGGTTGCTGCCAGCATAGGTTCTGGATTGACTGACTGGCCAAGTAGAAACATTCTATGTAACACGTTTCCTCGTCTTAATGAAGTCCGATTATTATACGAAACGTGTTACACGGAATTTTTTTCTATTTGGACGGCCAATTGCCGAACATTGTTCTCATATAGAGAAAAGTATATTATATACGTACCATATTCTCAAATATATATGAAACGCATTGGAATAAATGCATATTCGTCCTGGGTATGACGATAGACTACATCCGGCAGCAAGACCTCTGATCGGGAGATTTTGAGAAGCGTGGAACCACCTCTTAATTGCTGGTGTTCCCAGGTCCACCCTGACAAGGGGTGGTAGCACCCAACAGGGTTCCAGCTATGGACAAATAGTTACCCACCCCCACTCCAACAAGGAGCCAAACACTACGAAAGTATAAAAATGGATTTTTATAGTAAAAAAAAAATTTTTTTTGAAAAAAAGAATTTAATACATGGTCTATTGTTACGGACCTATCCTAAAATCTTATCAGCATTAAATAACCCATTGAGGTGCTGATATGCCGTAGAATAAAACTGAACCAAACCAAATATATATTTATTAGTAGCATAAATTTAAATCTCGGTTATTTTTCATCGACCACTATATTATTATCACTACTAATACTACACACACACACACACATATATATATATATATGAAATAATGCACAGTGGGTGCTGGTGGTAATAAAATAGTTTTATTGAACAGTTTGCAATACGTGCGTAACAATTTTCACGAACAAAAAACGCAGTTTTGTACCAAACGATGAGGAACAAAATGTATATTTATTATTAGTATATAGATAGATAGATAGATA